GAGGTTATGGTCTCCCGCTTGTCAAACCAGTTCCATCAAACTAATCCCGCTGTGTCAACGCCTCGGGACCCACCAAGTAAAAGAGAGAGGGGGGAGGAGTGTTCACGGCTCAAAGTTTTGTCCTCGTTCCTAAAGGCCTGTCAGCGCTGACGACACGCGTATACAGATTCAAGCCTCCTTTTCTTTCTGGACGTTTCAGGGCTTATGCAAAGCAATGTTAAGATGTCATTTTGTAAAGTGCTCTGCACACATTCTATCCTCTAAGCTTTCCTCTAGTGGTATCTAGTCCTACAGATAGCTCCCTGTTTTTACAGTCCAGTTTTTTAGAGATCCATCTCTGAGAGTCCTATCTTCATTCCTCCATTGTATTCAGACATTAGTATTTCAGCACTGTTCTGACATAGACTATGCAACATTAGTTTTATTTTTTGTCATTAGGGCAGCAGGTGTCCATTGTTTGTTATGGCTTTATTCCAGGGGTGTCAGACATGCGGCCCGAGGGCCAGTACTGGCCCGCCAAAAAGTCCAATCCGGCCCCCTAAATGACTTTGAAAAGTGTGAAAATTACAGAGATGTCATCAATTTAAATTCATTTCTCAATAAATTGCAAGTGTTTCCAAGAAAAATGGACCATTTACTATTTCTTCAAGGAAGTAAATGGGAAGCCTGTGTTCACAGCACCTTTCAGTGCTCCCGGTTCGGCCCACTTGAGATAAAATTGAGATGTGGCCCCGTGAACTCAAATGAGTTTGACCCCTGCTTTATTGGAATTAGACAGGGCCGCTACAGGAAGAGCCACAATGCCCACAATTTATTTTGGCATCCAAAATTCATAAGCTGTAATGGCGCAGCTCAAGCCATTTTAAATAATGTGCTACAGAACACAGAAGTGCTGTGGTCGCCTTGTGTCTGGAAGGCCCTAAAGTCCGAGATTCATGGGAGACCAATATGTCAAATTGCCAGCACCTTTAGGGAACAAAGTGTGTGTCAGAAAAGGGCTTTAAAAATTCCAACAGACCTTACTGTGTTTTCATCAGAGCAACTTTCTCGCAAAGAAATAATCCCTATGAAATCTGTTTACAGTCCGTTCTCTGGAAAGAGATGTTGCTCTGGAATTAGAAATGTCTGCAACAGCCCTTTAAGTTTCCTCTACCGTGAGAAATTCGGATGGACTTGATTAGGAGTGAAACATTAGCTGCAGGAAATGATGCCAAAATATGAGGCTTTACAGGAAGACAGATATCTGATAGCCAGCAGTTCCTCATGCTTGGAAAGCCAAATATAACCAGGTATTTAATTTTTCCTTCTTGTGTACGTCAGCTCAATGAACAGGAGAGGAAGAAAAGTAATCATGCTCAAATAAAGTTGCAGAAACGTTGATCAGATTGCCTCTTGGGTCTGCGATGTTCCCACGGTGCCTGGGACATTTTGTGGAGTTTTCAGAAGGACAGTAATAACAGGAAGTGTAGGGGTGACTGAATGTGAAGGCTGCCATGACTTTGGAGGATTTCTTGACTTTGGGTCAACACGGATGAAACTGTCATCTGTTGCATATGCATGTGCTTCTGGAGGCCCATATGCCTGCACCCCGTTTTAACAATTCAAATCAGCTCTGTCCACACAGCAGATCTGTCAAGGCCACACACACTCAACTCAGTCATGCTAGAATAATCACACACTCCTAAAAGTTCCACTACCACTGTACCTATTGTGTTACAGTAATGTTGTTTTTCCTCTTGCTCTTTGTGCAATGGGCATCCTGCTAGAATAGTAAATGGATTGACAGAAAATGAAAAAAAAGTCCTTTATTATCTAATAATAGATTCCAGATTCTCAAATGGGAAGCTTTGCTGCTTTTCTCTGTTTTTAACAATTGCAAATTGCTATTATTTTATATGTTAAGGGATTATTAAATAAATGAGGATTTGTTCAATAAAATACAATATAAAATACAAAGAAACTCAACTAGTTCTAGCGTTTCTCGTAACCTTATTAATTAGCTTACTTTGGTAACCTACCAACGTCTGAGTGGACCCTTGAAGTTCACATTAATGATTAGATACAGGGCTGGGACTGGCCTTCTGTGCACTGTGAAATCAATTTTATTATTGCTACATATGCATGCATGTGAATGTTTTTGTTTTTTTGAAGTGCTTCACATATAGATATCCTACAAAGCACACACACACACACACACACACACACACACACACTTTGTGTCTTTGAGTCTATTTGTGGCTCTAATTGGCACATTCACTGGGCAGTAAAAGGCTCTTCTTGCTGGCTAAAAGCCTACAGCTGTACAGCATGCTTGGTTGCATCTACCGAATAGAAGGGGCTCGCCCCTTGCACTGCAGACAACAATGCCTTCGCCATGGAGACAGAAATACAACACAGTGGAAAAAAAACAAACTATAATCCGCTGCTTAATCCTCTTGAGTCAGGATGTCACAATAATCAAGGCCATTCTGCCATGAAGTGAACTATTTTTACATCAGCGGTCTGGAGTGAGAGGATGGATGGAATGAAACCATATTGGCTGCATTCTCAGGAGCACTCTAACGGGGATTTCACTTTATCCACCAGCTGCATCCGTCATTAGGGAAGCACAATCTGCACTTAGGGTGCTCAGTCCCAGTTTGTTGTGCCCAAACTAAACTGTTGTGTACATACTTCATGAACAGCACTGATATCTTTTTTTTTAATAGTAAGTTTTCCTTAAAGGTGCAATGTGTAAGATCTGGCTATCTGCTCCAAACAAATAAGGGGCAGCATTTCACCTCTACTTCTTGGTCCATACAATCTAAATTTACAGTTATCAGTTATTTAAAAGGGAAAAAAAAAGCTAAATAGTAACTAACAGCAAGGCAAGAATGTGTAAAAAAAAATGACCAAACTGCTGAAGCTCAAAACAACACTGCTATGTTATGAAGTTCACGCGTGGCGTCGGCCTATTTAGCCATTTTTGTGTTTACCGTGCCACTAACCGGGGGCTGTACAGGCTGTGTACGCTGTCATAGTTTGTTTATTGGATTATATCCAACATGGCAGAAAGTCCTCCCCACCACCAGGAGAGTATGTTGCGGAGAGCATGTAGCAGCTCTAGGAGCCTTACTTACAGTTAGCTGTAGAAACTCGAATCCAGCCTGCGCTGGATCAGCAAACTTTCTGTTGCTCCCGTTTACACAGGTTCGATCCAGCGCCAGCTGAATGCTAACGCTGGTTGCTACGGCTAACCACTAACTGAAGGTCCGCCTCCAGGCTGAAATAGTCTCCTGGTGGCGGAGAAGATGAAGGAAAAATACAGGTTGTTTTCTTGTTTCTGCCACTTTTGATTAAATCCAAACTATGAACACAGCCCCTGTCCTTAAACGTGATAGACAACCCGTCTGGGCAGCTCTACTTATTTGTCCTCTCATGCTGGACTGAAGGCAGACTGGACGCTACAGTCTCTCACTATCGCCTCTCGAGGTACACGTGGTATTAAAAGACAGGACATGTCAGGGCTAGCTGGTTAGCATGCTCATTTCATTATAAATCTGTGCAACACAACACATACACTGTAACGTCCTCACATTCTGTTGATAATGTCAGTTCATTTTTTTGAACCTTTTAAACTAAAATCACGGTCAGATCTTACACATTGCACCTTTTTAAACAGAGGCCAGAGCAGCGAGGTCAGAGGTCATGACAGGCCCTTCAGGACGAGGCTTATATCGGCGCATAAGCGGCATGGGAGCCCGCGGAGAACTTAGTTTGACCCAGAGCCTAGTGAGTGAGCTGATCACCACCTCCCTCTGGGCCAAAAACTCCAAAGGATTCCTGGCATACCACTGCTTCAATTACAGAGGCTGGAAGGAGAGAGAGGACGTCGCAGCGCAGTCTGGCTGCATGGGAGAAAACAGCATCGCCTGGGAAGGAATCACACAGGCTGTCTGCGAGGAGGACACGTGCATTTCTCCAGGAGATGTCACTGTAATGTATTACTGCTCCCAATAAGTAATGTAAAGCTGTACTTTTTTCAGCAGTTTTACGTAACGTTGCAGACTTAATAAATAATGTTTTTTTAGGTACAGCAGCCTTTTCACTGACTAGGCTCCTGAACACTGTTTGTATATGTGTCTACGTGCATACGGGCGTGAGCGGTTACCTAGCAACAGTGAGAGATGGACAGACAAGTGCTGGCAGAGCAGATGTTGGAAGGAATTTCCAAAAGTAGAACATTTGAAAATGGCAGACTGAGACAGAAGAGGTACTGTCATGTCCCAAATTACAAAAAAAAAAAAAATTTCCCCACCTACCTCTATAGTGGTTTTAATCCCGCATTTATTTTTTGCTTTTGCTGTATTCGTAAAGGTGTTCTGCAGCTAAAACAATGCGGCAAAGAATTAATTCTGCGGCGCTGAAGGCATTAAAAGAATAAGCCGGCACAAATGAAAACCAAACATATCGAGATGACTAATTCCTTCCAGAGGTATGTGAGGAACTGACTCTTTTCATCACTCTCATTATGATACAGACTGATGGTAACTCAAACAAATGTAAAGCTATTTGTTTAACAATTTTATATTAATTATATTATATACAACGGATACTTATGTAATACAGCCATTTACACTACTGATTTATCAGCCAATATTATCATTTTTTACATAAACATTTAACATTTTTGATGATGATCCCTTGAATTTGGTTATTTAAGGCTGATGGTGCTCAAGATGCATACTCAGCAGTTTGTTCGACAACATTTGACAAAACAACCCCCAATCAAGGTCCACTTACTAGCCTTTCCTGGCGCTTTTGATTGTATGAAATGGGAGTTCAGTAGCTGTTTTGAGTTCATAAAGAAACCTTGGAAACAAAGCTCTTTGTCACACTGAGACACTTCACTCTCACTTCAGTGTTTATTAATAATAACTGCTCGGAGAGCAAATGCCCGCAGCGTCACACAGAGAGGAAAACACAGCATGTCACAGTGTGGGGAGGTACTGGAGTCCTACCTTGCAGCCCTCACAAGCGCTGACACCATAGTGGTATCCAGAGGACTTGTCCTCGCAGACGAAGCAGGGCTTGTAGATTCTAGGAGGGGGCAGCGGGGATGGCGGGCTGGGGACGAGCTCCTCAGAACTGGTGCTCTGCGTTTCAATGGCTGCGGGGAATGCAAACAAGAGAAGAAAGAAGATGAAGGTTTCAAATGGCTGAATGATTCATTTAGACACCTGGAACTAGAAAAGTATTCGTTGATGGTATTAGTTAATTCTCTAAATTCAGAAAACTCTTCTGTTGATTTTAGGAGGTTGAAAATCCAAAGTTTATAGCCATGTTGTTTCAACACCATTCAAACCTCTTGCAAACACACTAAACTAACATGCTTAACATCAGCATGTAGGCATTGCACATTTAACATTTAACCACTTAGTTGGGTTTAGAAAAAACATGTTTGGGCTTAGAATAAGTGCGTACACTAAGTACTAAATACTTAACACGTCACAATAACTCGCACATCGGTCTTAAAACCAGCCTCGCCAGAAAGCAGGTAGGAGACATTAAACTCTATTATTTATAGTAGATGTGCTTGTAATTTGGAGACACATAAAAAACTACTTGGAGAGTACTTGAAGATAGTGAAAATGTACCAGACTTTGAACCTATGCACAGACCGAACCGTTGTGTGTCCACATGCACACAGCCTATCTGCATAGAAAATGGAGAACAGTCTCTCCAGCATCTCTACTGATTAGATTACTTTCTTCCGTACTTCATCAGAGTAAACTCAATTACTGATGGTAAGGGACACGCTCTTATAATTACTGGACCCTCGTCCTTGCATGGAATTCCCTGGCGGTTTAATCTAATCTTCGGCTACATTCACCCTGTGTGACTTTTTTGCGCATGGTGAATTTGCAGCTTTGCATTCGGCAACTTCCAGTGGCTCCAGGGAAGACTTAACAAGTCTGCGGCACATCAGCACTGTACGTGAGAATGAATGTTACCCCTGTAATAAGGAATGGGAACGTAAGATGATCATCGAGGTTAATTAGAATGAGATGATTCATAAATCTATCGATTCTCGCTCTTATCTGGGTTTGAGGAACAGTTTGGGCAGCAAGGACAAGTCTCTGTGACTCGTTACGAAACTGTGAGAGCAGCAACTGCTTAAAAGTTCTGCAGAATCTTTAAGTAGACTTGCATAAAGCTGACATAATGGTGCTGCGTTGGGATTTTGAAAAGTTCGGCGGTCTGAATTTCAAGTGGTATTCATCTGAGAGTAAACAACTTCAGTCAGCCACGTTATTTCTCCATTCTTTAAACAACTCCAGAGCGACCTGGTTTCATTGACGAGGACAGACAGACAGACATTTGTTTTCATTGAAGTCGGGTCATCTCGTCGCTCCGAATGGTTTCCCTCTGTTGTTGGCAGAGAGCAGTCAGAAGCAGCTTGCACATAAAGCAGATGTATGGTGAGACACCGCGCTGGAGGCAAGCCAGTGGTCTGACACACAAAGCCATCTGATAGGGGAGAGAAGGGGGACTAGACGCTATGGCGTTTTGTGTCTATGCAAGCATTTAACTAATACAGCGTACAAGTTGGGCTGGGGTTTCAGTACTGATACCAAAACCTTTTCAAGACCTTTAAGGAAGAGAAACATGTTTTTTTATATAATGTGTTCGTACAACCAAAGGCCCTTTTTACACGTTTCATTTCAAATGTCTAGCATCATATCCGTACTTCATCCACAAGCTGAGTTCGTCCCTTTGCCTCCTCACTACAGCGAAGCCACACAGTAATATCTCTGTCCTGCATCAAACATGTAATAAGTGAAACATGGTTGTTCACCTGAGATGAGGATGAGGATGTATGACTACTGGAGCACAAACACAATGTGTATTAGCCTTCCCCAGGAGGCGCGGCGCACTTTAACATACATCTAGAGGAAAAATACTTTTGTTACTGATATGGCTTCGGCGCATTTGTGACGGCTGGGTAGTCCCACATTGAGGAGCGGCAGCGCCAACAATTCAGCCCCACTGCCTATTTGAAACTCATGGCTGCGTCCGGGAGGCGGTGTGACCACCTGCAGACAGATGGGACGCATAAACGTAGATTCATTACACCCCTCAGAGTGTGTGTATGTGTGTGTGTGTGTGTGTGTAAGGAGGGGGTGGTCAATGGGTACCTGTGTGGTGGCGTATAGGCCCTATCGGGTGCAGGGGAGCCTTTTTCTATTTTCTGCGTGATTAAACTTTGAGTCGACTTCCCTGCATGTTAACATACACAGAAAGCTCCATTAGAGGAATAAAGGCTGGTGACAGACAAGCGCACACGGCGAGTCTGGCTTAAGAGCAGCCAGAGAAAAATCTGTGGCTGCTGAACCCTTAGCCTCTGGCTGAACCTGCCGCCGGGGTCAAACAGGAAAGCACACACACCCTGCTGGAGGCTGCAGGCTGAATGAGGGGAAAGACGAGAGAAAACAGCCCCTCTAATTGGCCCGTCTACTGGGACGCAGCCTGCTGACACCGGGAGCTCCCAGATAAATACTGGCCTTTATGAGTATCAGCCATAGGGATGAGCTCGGAAAAGCACACAGCTGATGAAAGTACACGTGAAATGTAGTACTTTAAAAACTTTGCTTGCAAATTTAGAATTAGTTTTGACTGATAACATTTAGAAAGATGTGATAATCTCCTCGTGTCTTGATCTGATAAAGGCGCCGCGACTTCATCAGATCAAGACAATCATCTGCCGCGACTAGTGCCAGTTTCAAAATAAAAGTGATGCAATGTAACGCTTAAAAGAATAAATAACAATGTTCCACTGACAAATGTAAAGTTCATAATAAAATACAACTTTGTGTTTTTCTGTTAAAGACTTACTTGGTTGGATAGGATAGTGGCTAATGTTAGCTCAAGTTTAGTTATAATTGGCTGCGTAACTGACATTAAGGTGATCAGTTCACGGACTCTTCTCTACTTTGTAACTGTAATTGTAACTTCTGGCCACAGTCGTGGCAATTCAACAAAAAAATGTATCTAATTTTGGTTTATAACAACTTGTGTCTCATTTTGGCCAACAGCTAACTCTCTAATGCCAAGTTCAAACTAAACGACTTCAGCCATGATTTTCCACTCGCTAACAGAAATTGGAGCCCTCCCCCAACAAAAGCTCCAGATCAGAGGCAAATCGGTGCTTGCATATACTTTTCTCATACTCAGAAATTCTGACTTGCGTAGTATACATTCGGGCATTTCTCACATACGCGTAATCCACATACTATGCACTAGATACTCGATTTTACGTCAAACTTAGTATGAATAGTGTGCTAGTATGCAATTTCGAACACAGCCTCGGTCTGATATCTTCCAGACTTCTAAAGTTACAACCTGTCTGACCGTAACGTTTGTGTCTGATTTAAAAATATCCAAATGTTCCCAGATGTCATCAAAAAAAACTTTAGGGGAACAGCATTACAATTGCCAATAGTATTGGATGCCAATGGAAAATGAGGCCCAACTGGAAACAATTTTTGTAAATTGGCAAAAATGTGTGAGCAAGTTATTATTGTTTGCTTATGTACTGCCAATACTAGTCAATACCCCCCAATTATATATTAAATTATCGACACAGAGTGACCAAAATTGTAACTATTTGTTTTTGTGTTTAAAAATGTCTCTAAAAATATAGTTTATGATCAAATCTGTGGGCAGAATGGAGACACAAATCCAATGCAACAGAAAACAGTCATTACCGGTAAATTGTCTACAGGCTCTTGGCAACAACCGTCAAAAACTATACAGTGGGCGCCGCGGTCAGCTTGAAAAACCCGAACACTGACACTGGTCCAGCTCGAAATGAGCAGTGTGAGGCAGGATGTGAGGTTACATGTAGGTAATGAAGAAGTAATCTGCAGAGCTGCAGAGTCATCTATCCGCTCCGTGTCCTCTACGTCCTTATATCCAGTTCCCCCAGTCTGGAAACCAGTGACATGTAAAACTCTCCCCACATGGTCCACGGGACCAACAGATGGCAAAGAACCCGAAGCAAAGTCTGTCGCTGCACACGGGCAGTTTAACACAACGATGCCGCATTCAGAATTAGGACAAAGCTGCCTCTCTGCTGCAGATAATGGAAGGGAAAGGTGCACTTAAAAAAAAGCAGTGCTTAATTTTAGTTGTATAAAATAAAAATCAATTGAAAGGCAAGAACCATAAGTCAAAGTGATTGAATTAAACCTGACAAATGATAAAGGATCAGCAGAAACGAGGAGAGAGAAAGAAAAGAAGGGAAAGGAGGCAGGATAAAGAGAAAGAGAGGCATTTCCTGCAGCTCCTCGGGGTATTTGTGTATTTGGTTTGTGTTAAGGAGAAAGCTGTGGTGATTTGGGTGTGGAGTGGTGGGCAAAGCCTGGGAGGATTAGAGGAATATTACTCCCAGTCGGTGGATCCACCCCCCTACTCCTCCTCCTCTTCCCCCTTCACTCAGCTGACGCTCCGTCCAGTCTGAGAGTGTTTTCCTCCAGGTTGTCTCTGCAGGAGCGCCGAGCACATAGCTCACATACAGCGGGCCCAGTCAGAGGAAATGGTCAAAGTTCACCCAGAGTACACCAAATGAGAAGCAGCTTTGCTCCGCTCTCTGATGCGTTTTTACAGAGGGGGATATTTGGAAGAGCTTTAAACACTCAAGGAAAGGAAAATAACAATGAGGAACAAGTCATTTGACTTCATGTCTGGTGAGGAGAGGTGAGGATCTGCTTTTCATCAGGGCTTCGAAATCCACATTTGACAAAGGAAAAACTCCCAAATTTGACTTCATTTC